TACTTCAAAATGTGGTGCTTTTTTCTGGATTCTTTGAAATAGACGAATGTCCGGTGAATGATGGTATTTGCTGAACACACAACCAACATGAAACAGAGAAGAGCAACAAGTGAACGGGCGTGAAACGGAATAGGTAAATTAAAGATGATGCAAAGACAGTAGCTTCATAGCCCGAGCCTTAAAATGGAGAAATGTCTGTGGTATTTGACAAATAATTACTCTGATTTGCTTAATCAAAAAATTGATTGTATCAAACCGCAAGAAACTGGAAATTCGTTGCTCTCCGTGACAGAAAAACTTCATTGTTTGATTCCGCCAGCAATTTGTGAACCATTCAACAGCTTGCAATTTAAACTTTTAAGCTGCTTTTTTTTAAACTTAATTTAAGAAAGGTTTAAGGTTGGAATAAGTAGAATTTCTAATTTCCAGAAGTTGTCTACTTATTTTTCTCTGATTATCGTCTATGCCCGTAGTTTGAAAAATTTTTGGCACAGTTTTTTTTTTTTTTTTTTTTAAGGAATTAGACAATACTCATCGAATGCAGAAGTTCTGAAAAATATTGAAGGATCTTCGAGCATTCAGTTTTTACAGTTTTTGGTCAAAGGAATTATTTTAGGGAAATTTTTTTGAAAAGATATTTCTTTTCAGTTTTTATCTTTTGTTTCATAAAAGAAGTACTGCAAGTGACAGGAAGTAGGTTTCTTTTTGTTTTTGATTGATTAAGGGTTTTATTAGTTTGAATCGTTCTTTAATTACATCTTTTGCAACTTGTTGTTGTCGACAACAGTTTGCTGATTGCAAATAGGTGCCGAATGGAACTGCAAAACAGATTTTTTTTTTTGTAGATTCTAAATGAGGTATGAGAATTTTGGTTAGTCGAAGAACTGAGTAGTTTTAAGAATTGATTAATGGGTTGTTCTAGTTTTGTAATCCTCGACAAATATCACTCACTGTTTTTTTCTGTGCCTTATATTCCACATTTTAGAACAGTTTTACAGTTTTATGGTTTCTGTAATCCTAATAAAAATACTGGTAATAGGAATGCACTTTTTAATAAAAGTGTTCAGGGCTTAAATTTCTATGCTATTGACAGCTTGTTGCTGAAAACCTTTGAGCCTGCAAAGGCTTATTTGAATTATTGTCAAGCGTATTCACACTCGTTATTATGTCGATGATAACATTTTTAGAAAATTCAATTAGGTCTTGAAAAGTTAAAAACCCTTTTGCAAACGATAATTTCGCAAAAAAAAACTACCAACTGTGCTATAATTGACGTTGAAAACAAAAAAATTTATGACAACAAATTACTTACATAGAGGGTACCACGGGAATTTTTTTGTTGTTTGTTTCCTTCGTAACTTTACTTTGATTGAAAGGTTGTTTATGAAAGTGGTAATCTTTATTTGCAGTGACACTGGGTAACAGTTGGCCAATTCAGTTTTTGTATGCCCTTCTTCCGGCTCACCTCCTACTCATTCTCCATCATCAGAGAAGGCCAAAATCAAACAAATCATTGTGTGCAGAAAATTGCTACTGGGACTATAGTTTACTGTTTAGACTTGCAAAATAAACATATTTGACAAGAAACAACTAAACTACAGAGAACAAAGTTGCTCCTTATGAAATCTGCGTGAGCAATGAAGTGGCAGTGGTGTTTGCTAACGTTTCTTTTACGGCTACGTCTGCAACACGTTCTGTTACCAGATCTTCGCACAAAGACTACTAAAACTGCAAAAAAAAAAAGAAAAAAAAAAATGACATTCTGTAACTGAACTGATTAATTTTGTTGCACAGATTTTGAATGCATACAACAAATTTCAGGAAGGAAAACTTGAATAATAAGAGGAATAAAAGAAATTTTTATTGTCGTTATTTTATTCTTTAGTTATAAAAGAACATGGTTTTTCCGCTTTCCTTTGTAATTAATTGCAAGTTCTTTAATAGTGGTGTAACAATGGAGGGGTTTGATAGAAAGAAGCTACTGACTGTATGCGCTCAATTGCCATTAAGGAAGCATAAAAGGATGCCACTGGTTTTCATCATTGAAATGGCTTAAATTTTTATTGTTGAATCATTTTGCAAAGTCAAGTTGTGATACATAAACGTAAAAATAAATTTGTTTAAAATAAAGAACAAAAAAGTTGTCAATGGTTTTTGGAATTTGGGGTCATTGTACAACAACCGTAAAGATACTACCATTTTCCTTCTTCAGCACCCATTCTTGTGCCGTTTGAATAACCGATTTCTATAGTGCTGTTTTTGGTGTTGCTCCAAATATCTGCTGAACTTTATTTGTCTATTCCGCTGCAGCTGTATTACTTGTTCACGCTCATTGATATGTTTGGTAATCATTCGGTTGACTAGGATAACGATTAAGATTAAGATTAGGACAATCGTGTAAAATTATGAACTGCTGCGTTATGAGTGAACAAAACAAAAAAAAAAAAAAAAAA